GATCCCCTCTGAGTAACAGGGGCTGACAGGACTTGTCACACTACAAGAACAGCCATGGCAGAGCAGGCTCCAACCCAGACCTGCCAAGGCTGTGAGTGTGAAGCCTCCACACACACATCCAGAGCAGTGAAGGGCATGTTAGCACAGGTCCAGGATGTGCTTGGCACAGGAGCAGCACCAGCAATGAATTAAAGGCAATAAAGCTGGTGCCAAAGCAGAACTCCCAGTGCACCCTCAGGAGCAGGAAATCCCAGCAGGACAGTGGTTCATTACCAGCTTTGGCCCAATCCCTGCTCTGGTGGGATGGTGGGACAACAGAGAGGAATAGGGAGGGACCTTCCAGCCCATGAAGGACACTGCTGTCCTCAAGCCAGGAGAAAGAAGCAGAACCAAGGGAATCTCATCACCAGCATGGCTCAGAAGAAGAACTTTCAGAAGTGTTACTGCAGGCAAGACCTGCAGCAGTGAATCCCAGTGGCACTGGCTGCACAGAGGACATCCCTGGGCATCCCTGGACACCCCTGGGCATCTCTGGACATCCCTGGGCATCTCTGGACATCCCTGGACATCCCTGGGCATCCCTGGACATCCATCCTGCTCTTGGCTTCCTTGGCTGTGTTCGCCTCTGGCCATCAGATCTTCCCATTAGTTCACCCCCAGCTGCAGTGGAGCTGCAGGAAGGCTCTCAGGATTGCATCCCAGGCATGTGGTGAGCTGGCAGCCCTGGCTGTGTGTCCAGCCCAGAGCTCCTGGGAACAGAGGCTTCCCTCCCGTGCAGCTCTGCAGAAGGACCGGATGCAAATCAGAAAGAAAACACAGAGAGATAATATACACACAGCAGATTTTTGCAAATAAACTGGCAGAAACATAGACAACGCACAGTGATTTAGCTGATCTTAAAAAGTCTCTGCAAAAAGATCTTTAAAAGCTTTTCAGGAAAACAAGTTTTCCTGGCTAGACAGAATGTGCAAGGGGATTGTGAGATGTGGCTGGGGAAAAAGATGGATGAGAAATAGATGGTTTCTGTCCCAGTGTAGAGATGGAGCAGGGACAGACCTGAAGGCAGAAAATGGGCCATCCATGAGAAGGTCCCCTACAATGGTAGGTGAGTTAATTTGAGTACTAAAACCACCCTTTCTCAAAGAAATGCTAACACTTACCAGACTGATCCTTGTTCCCATGTTTGATTGGTGACAATAACAGCAAATACAGCAGACCTTGCAGGATGAGAGAAAGAAGCTGAAATTTTAATGTATATTATGACAGAAGCAGGAGACTCTTTTGGTTTTTCCTTTCAAAATAATCTCTGAGTTTTTAGGAGACTGAAACCTCACCCCAAAAAAAGTCTCTGCTTCTCACCCCAGAAGAAACAGAACATGAAACTGCAACTGAAGTTGTTGTTGCTCAATAAATCAGAGAATCAGAGTTCCAGGTGGGAAGGGAGGTCAGGGCTCATTTGGTCTGACCTTTCCTGGCCAGAGCAGAGTCTGGGCAGGATGGTCCAGCACCTGCCCAGCTGCACCTGGAAAGGGCCCACCAGGAGTTCCCTGCTGAGGTCCTGCCCCCCCCTTGGCCTTGCTGGGACAGACACAGAACTGGGGAACAATGTAGGAAGGAGGGGACTTGAGGGGTCCCCATCCCAGTGTCCCACTGGGAGCAGGGTAAACATCAACACCAAAGTCAGTTCAAGCGACCCAGGCTCCAATGCTTCCAGCTTTCTCTTCTGCTGAGAAGAGGAAGAAAACTCTGATTTTGCACACACAGTTTTCAGTGCTGCTTGGAAGATTACATTTTTTTAATTGTAAAGTGTTATTTCATAAACTCTCTTCCTGAGATGGTTGGTTGAACATTTCTCCAGCTTTCTGCCTGCAGCACTGACACTCCCCTCCTGCAAACCTGCCTGTCATTGACTGAGTCAGGCAGTGAATGATGGCCAAGAGTGTGGGAGCATGTGCTGACCCCAACACCCCCCACACTCCCCTTTTCGCTCACTGGTGGCATTTTGTTGGGTTTTTTTACCCTCTAGTCGTGTCTGTTTTGTTTGAGAAAAGAAGGAATAAGCTTGCAGGGATGAATTGGTTTCCATTTATAGCAGAAATATGGCAGAGTAGGTTGGAGCATCCTATGTGATAAAATAGCAGGTGTCACTGAGTGGAGATTTAATGCTCGCTCACAGGGAAGCAGCACACACACACTCCCTCCTTAAATCCGACCTTGGTGTGATAAACACCCCCTTCCACAGCTCCACGTGGAGATTTGTGGAGCTGGAAGAGAAGCCATGTGTCTTGGATGAGAGTGAAAGCACTTTATTCCTACCAGGGTGCAGAGAAGATCAAACACATTCGTTTCTGGAGCTAAAAAAAGAAAAAGCTTTTAAAAGAGATAATGAACCATTCAATTCTTTAATTTTATTTTACATGTAATTATTTAACTTGATGCATTTTTTCAATTGCTTCATCATTTTAAACTTTCTCCAGAGCAATTATGCATATCAAGGCTTGCACCTATATCTTTAAAGAAACATACTCTGCAAGCAGCATCAAACCAATATTTTTACAAAAATTCTATTAGTGTTTGATATTTAGCAAAGTGTTTAACTTAAATCTAAATGAACTGTGCCCTTAAGCATTTTAAAAATACCAAGTTTAAAATGTTAAATGCAGATGAGGCTGAATAAGATTTGTTTTCTGATGTGTTTTCTAATGAGTTTTCTGTGATTTTCCTCTTTTTCTTTGTGAGGTTTTCATAGAAATTTGATTTTCTTTAATTTTCCTACTGGAGACGGGAGCAGTATTTGTGTGTGTCTGAGAGGGAAGTGCTGGATGTGCTCAGTGCCTCTGATGTTTCCCAGGAGCAGAGTGTGGGTGACGGCTGCTGGCGATGGTAGGGGTGATGTGGGCAGGGTTCAGTCCTGTTCCCAAGTGCCACATCCACACGGCTTTCAAATCCCTCCAGGGACTCCACCTCTGCCCTGGGTAGCTGTGCCAGGGCTGGACAACCCTTTCACTGAGGAAATTTCCCCTGATATCCAAGCTAAAACTCCCCTGATGTAATCTGAGGCCATCCCCCCTGGACCTGCTGTTTATTACTCGCTGCCCAGGACTGAGCCATGAAAACCAGGAGCAGAAGGAGCTCCTTTGGAAAGTGTTCCCAGTTTGAGATGTCCTCACCAAAATGTCCTTCCTGCCACTGTGATGGACTGGGGCCAGCAAAGGGGCAGGTCTGCAGGACAAGGGAACAGACACATTAGAGCCAGTGAGGCAGCCAGGGAATAGGGCAGAGCTGCCCAGCTCAGGGAATAGGGGAGAGCTGCCCAGTTCAGGGAACAGGGCAGAGCTGCCCAGTTCAGGGAACAGGGCAGAGCTGCCCAGCTCAGGGAACAGGGGAGAGCTGCCCAGCTCAGGGAACAGGGCAGAGCTGCCCAGCTCAGGGAATAGGGCAGAGCTGCCCAGCTCAGGGAACAGGGCAGAGATGCCCAGCTCAGGGAATAGGGCAGAGCTGCCCAGCTCAGGGAATAGGGGAAAGTTGCCCAGCTCAGGGAACAGGGCAGAGCTGCCCAGCTCAGGGAACAGGGCAGAGCTGCCCAGCTCAGGGAACAGGGCAGAGCTGCCCAGCTCAGGGAACAGGGGAGAGCTGCCCAGCTCAGGGAACAGGGGAGAGCTGCCCAGCTCAGGGAACAGGGCAGAGCTGCCCAGCTCAGGGAACAGGGGAGAGCTGCCCAGCTCTGTGGCTTTCCATCAGGTCCCTGGACTGGTGCCACTTAATGTGGAGAGGGCAGCTGGAGGTGCCCATGGACTTATGTGGAGAGGGCAGCTGGAGGTGCCCATGGTGGAAAGACATTGAAGGAACACCATTCATTGTCCTGGGGACTGGCACAGGCTCTGCCAGCAGACCCCTCTTGGATCTCTGCCGCAGTTCCTTCGGAGTCACACAGGGCAAGGCCGAAAGCAAAAACACAAGTAGAAATTATTGCCTTTGGAATTCCTGTGAAGTTCATCAAGAGTTCTGGCTTTGGCAGGGTGGTGGTGTTCAATTTATTTAATCCAGCCAGCCAGCTCAGTCATTAATTAATCAGTCTCAGAAAAGTCTGATGACAACCTCATATTAACAGCAAAAGCATTGATTCTCACAGTGGCACAAAATGAAAATATAAAGGAGAATCAGAAGAGACATTATCCATGGGAAATCAGAGCTCTCAGCAGAGGCAAGAGCAAAATCCATACAAATGTTCAGAGGAAGATGCTAGACAGTAAAATATTTCAACCAGATAATATTAATTATACAGTAAGTTCAATGATACACTTAAAGTCATCGGGTAGAACAGAAAACACATCCATTGGCACTGGGAGAAAGGAATTTATTTGAAGAATATGGTTGCAAGAAAACCTCTCAGTGAGTCCTGACAGATCCCTACTGCTATTCCTGTCTCTCTTCGTGCCCCTGCACTGCAGACACAGCTCTGCCCTCCTTGGGGGATCCTCCTCTGAGCCCCCAGGAGAGAAGCTCGTGGGTGAAGCCATCATGGTGTGACAGAGCTGTGAACAGCTCACTGACAACAAACACATCTCCAGTGTCCATATGGGGAATGGAACAGCCTCTGGATCACCAGGGTCTTCAAACTCAGCAGTTTTCACTTTAAGAGAGTTAAATTATTACTACAAAAAATAAAGGGGAGGGGGTGAATTGCATCAAGGAAAAAATCAAGATTTCTGAAAACCCCCATATGTGGAGAAAACTTCCACTTGATCTTTCAAACTGCAATTCTTTGCTGTCTCCTTCAAACCAAACCACCTGCTTTTTTCAAAACAATTGTTATCACTGATAATATTATTTTCAATTTTAACAAGTTTAACTCGGTGCAACCTCCCCTGCTCATTTCCCTGCCTTGTCCTGTCTTTCATATGCCACTCCCCAGCACTCCAGGAAAATGGCTCCATCCAGCCCAGCATCCCCAGGTCCTCCAGCACGGAGCCTCTGACCATGGACAGCAGTAAAAGCTTCTCACTGTGGCCCCACCAGCCTCCCCTCCTGGTGTGTGACCTGGAGACCTGCCCCAGGGATGGTGTCTGAGCTGGAGACCTGCCCCAGGGATGGTGTGTGACCTGGAGACCTGCCCCAGGGATGGTGTCTGAGCTGGAGACCTGCCCCAGGGATGGTGTGTGACCTGGAGACCTGCCCCAGGGATGGTGTCTGAGCTGGAGACCTGCCCCAGGGATGGTGTGTGACCTGGAGACCTGCCCCAGGGATGGTGTCTGAGCTGGAGACCTGCCCCTGGGAGACCTGCCCCCCCAGGGATGGTGTGTGACCTGGAGACCTGCCCCAGGGATGGTGTGTGACCTGGAGACCTGCCCCAGGGATGGTGTGTGACCTGGAGACCTGCCCCAGGGGTGGTGTCTGAGCTGGAGACCTGCCCCAGGGATGGTGTCTGAGCTGGAGACCTGCCCCAGGGATGGTGTGTGACCTGGAGACCTGCCCCAGGGATGGTGTCTGAGCTGGAGACCTGCCCCAGGGATGGTGTCTGAGCTGGAGACCTGCCCCAGGGATGGTGTGTGACCTGGAGACCTGCCCCAGGGATGGTGTGTGACCTGGAGACCTGCCCCAGGGATGGTGTCTGAGCTGGAGACCTGCCCCAGGGGTGCAGGCACATGGGGCAAAGCCAGGTGAAATCCTGGTGGGATGCTGGTCCTGTAGCAAGGCTCAGGGAGGAGCAGGTGACCCCCTGAGAGCTGTGACTCCAGCGTGGATCCCGTTCAGAGAAAACATTGCCATCCATGGCTCATGTACAAATGGGCTTCAGAAAAAAGAACAGCCGTGGCCTGCAGGGTTTTCTTCATGTTCCCTGCTACCATTTGCTCCCAAGAGTAATTGCATCAGGGTGGGGTCTCCCAGTCAAAACGCTTTGTGCTCTGAGAGAGGAGAATCATATCCTTTCTGAACAGAGCTCTCAGCTTGGCCAAACCTCCAGGATCTGGGGCTCCATACACCTACTTTGGGGTCCTACCCAGACTCGGTGCAGGTTATCTATTTAGTTACACAGGTAAGTACCTATTTATTTATTTAATTAATCATCTCCACTGTCCTTCTGCTCTGTCTCAGCCACACCATCTCCCTGCTCTGTCAGCTCGGGCCCAGGCAGTGCCTCCCCACATTCCCACATGCCCAGGTCACTCTTGGGGGTGTTTTCGGTGCACTCGGAGGCAGGGAAGTGGGGTGACAACTGTGGGCCCCAAGCAGGTGTGTCCCAGAATCCACCAGGACTCCAGAATGGTCTTTTCCTTTTAACTAAGAAAACCATTAAGGTTGTTTGCCTTGAGCTCTGGTTAATGGACTGCACGGATTATTTATTTATTTTTAAATGAACACACTTTATTTCCCCAAAGTGCTGCTGTTGACTTTCTCTAAGTACTGCCATCTGGCTCCCCTGGCTCAAAGGCACAGAGAGGTGGGGTGGTAATAAATAAGCAAACAAAAAAAACAAACAAATAAAAGTTCCTGATCCCCTGCGATTGGAGCATCACCCAAACATTTGTGGGGCTGTTAGATTCAATAATTGTCTTACTGGTGCTTTGGAAAGAAAGCAGCACGATTGCACTGACAGCCCACAGCACTGAGTGAGAATTACCAAACCAGTCTCCTCGGCTGAGAGTCTCTCCCTCCCTTTCTTTCTGTGCTGCTGGAGACTCCCCTCTGCCCAGGATCATCATTACCAGGCTGGGAATGTTCATCCTGGCTTTATTTCCCTTTGCAGAACAGCTCAGGGCTCAGAACCATAGCCTGGCTTTGCTTTCCCTTTTCCTCCTCCCATTCCCCCTTCCAAGAGACCATTTCCCAGCCCCTCACACCAAGGGACACATCACTGTCCAGAACAAGGTGAGGCCGCTTGCAGCGGCACAGGGAGATGCTCCTGCTCCGGGCTGAGCAGTGGCACCGGCAGAGCCATGAGGAGCCCTGGGGAGCAGGGATGGCGCTGTGCACAGGCTGGCCCGCTGCTCAGGTGCTCTTTTTCCATCTCACAACCCCCATCAGCCTCCGCCGAAACACAAACACGGCTGTGCCAGCAGCAGGACGCTCCCCCTCCCAGCTCCCAGCACAGAGGGCAGGAACAGCCCCGACGGCAAGGCTGGAAATGGGGGCAGGAGCGTTTGTCCCACACAAACACACGCATCAGTCGCGTGTGCCAAGATTACACTGAGAAATTATTTCATTTTAGAATGAAAGCTCACTGCCTCTTCCACCCCAGGGCGGGAGCCAGAACGCGTGGAAAATGTAGGTTACAGGCAAGGATAATTGTTCTAAATTGCCAGGATAGGCACAGATCCTTCAGGTAATTGTGGGCCCAGGGAAGCTGGCAATCCATCACACTCTTTCCAGCTGCAGAGGTTCTGCCCGTTCTTACTCCCCGCGCCGGTGACAGGTAATTTGTGCGAGGTACCTGGGAAACCAATTAGAGCGCACGGGGCAGGGCTCGCACGGCGAGTGACAGCGGCTGACAGGCGCTTTCTTTGGAAGCAATCCCCCGAAAACAGCGCCGGCACAAGGACACGGGGACGGGAGCGCCGTCGGCTCCCTGTGTGCAGCTGCGGCAGCCGGGCTGTCCCCGGTGCAGCGCTCGGAGCGGGGCAGGGCGGTGTCACACACCCGCTGCACAGCCCCATCGCTGCCGCTCTGCACCACCGCCCCTCACCAGCCCGCATTCCGGCCGGCAATGCACAGGGAAGGGGGCACTGCCCGGCACGGGGCACTGCCCTTGCTCTGCCACACCTTGTCCTTCCCTCCTGCCCGGGGCCTGGTTCTCCTGGATGAGTTGCAGCGGATATTGGAGCTGGCTCCTGCCCTGCCTGGGGTGCTGTCCCACAGAGCACATCATTCTCACAGGCGTCAGCCTGAGCTGTTCTCCGGGTCAGGGGGAATTCCTTCAGGAGATGCCATGCTCCCATCACCACACCCCCCACCTCCCCCCCCCCCGAAGACTTACAAATTAATTTGTTGCCTGCTGAGAGCATTGGCATCTTTAATCAGGCACAAATCTTTCTGGAGAAAAAGACATTTCACGGTTGAGGACATTTCACCACAAGATCTAAACAAGGAAATCACTTAATTGATGATACAAGCTGTATATCTAGCAAAGAATTGTGTCTCAGGAGGTACCAACACTTTTGGTGTCTGAACCAGTGACCTAATGACTTGCTGTTGGATTGGAAGGAAGTCGTGTCAAACCTCCGTGGAAGCAGCAGAGCCTCTGGCCAGGACTCTGCACAGCCTTGGAAGACACTGGTGGGAGCCCAAAGCTTCATAAGCTGTTCCCATAAATCCAGCCCCTCAGTTCTGTCACTGCAAATAAAATAACAATAGCAAAAGTAAAATAAAAATTGCCCAGTTACTTTGCTTTCCTGTAGGGAAGGTAAACAAAGCTTTACAGTTTGTCAGAGGCATCATAAAATCCTCTTCAACACATCGGGGAGTGCCACTTCCTAAATCATCAGCTGAGATTGCTCTTCCAGCCTTCACTCAGGCACACGGAGCTGCTCTGGGCTGTGGGCAGAGCTGTGTTCAGCAGAGAGGGATCCTGTGCCCCAGGATTCACAGCCGCAGGGATCGGGGTACACCGTGTGCCCGTTTGGAGTGGGAGTGCAGAGCCTCTTCCTCTGCAAATAAGGGGAAACCATCCTGCTCCTGCTCCACTGCGTTTGAGAGGGTGTTGGTTGGTAACCCTTTCAAGTGTAATGTTCCTGGTGTTTCCTGGTGATGAACTAAAGCCAAGGGAGCTCGGTTGGCATCACTTGCCACAGCAGCCCTGACATGGAGGTGCCACCTGCAAACCCCCTCCCCAGCTGCCCGAGCCTGCACACTGTCCTTAAAAGAGACTCCAAGTATTCCTATGAGGGCTTTCTGCTTTTTTCCCCTGTTTATACTAGTAGATATGAACCCCCCACCCACGTGCTGCTTTTACACAGATCCTTAGACATTCCCGTGGGGACCAGCGGGCTCAGCTCCTGGCATCCTCCAGCTTCATCTTCGGTTATGGCTCCAGCAATGCTGAGTTTACACCCTTGGAACAGTTTTCCCTCTCTGTTCCCTGCCAGGGAGGGAGGCTGTGGGTGGCAGAGCAGAGGCAATGTGTCCCTCAGGGTGGGCTGGGAGGAGGATGGGAGCCTGGGGACGGGGCTGAGCCAAGGGCGCTGCCACAGGGCTGCTTCCCACGGGTGGCTGATGTGGAGCAGATCTGTTGGCAGGCAAAGAGGAATATCATTGCCTCAGGTTGTCTCTTAACTACTTTCAATTTTTTGTCTACTCCTGGTGTCAGGCAATATTTGGAGGCTATGACAGCAAATCAAAGAGTGGATGAGTCTGCTCATCCTCCCCACCCTTGGGTACAGCCGGACCAGAGCTGACGGAGCTCCTTCTCCAGAGGTGCCTGCATTGCTCCCCAGGATCCCTTTCTCCACCATTTTTGGTGATGATCAGTCAACCACACCATGGCCTCTTTGGAGGCTCCTGTGCCCACCCCATGGGGCCAGGTGGGGGGCCCTGGGGCTCTTCTGAGACCCCAAGAGTCCTGCACAGGGGATCCCTGGCCCAGAGGAAGCTGTTGGACCAACATCAACCCTGCTGGGGCAGAGGAGGCAAAAACTGTGTCCTCAGACTTCCAGGACAATTTACAGTGATGTTCTGACTTGCTGCACAGTAGCAGTGGCTTTTTGTCCTCACCTTTTATTAAATGTAATAGTTGCAATAATTCACCAATAGCCTATTATTCTTATATACAAAAATCTGCAAATAAAATGTAAATGTGCAATTTTGCTATTATTATTTCCATCTGAAAGTATCTGTCACACTCTTTTCATAGATTATTCCACATTTTCTCCTCCTCTTAATAGCTATGTCATGCAATAAGCCATGCAGGATTGTTTGCTCACTTATACCTTTTATCATCACTTTTTAAATCAGTGTTTCTTAGAAATGCTTTTTCATGCTTTATAACCTTATCTGTGCAGCTTTATCTTAAAAAAAGTACAAGCCAGAGGTAAATCATACCGGGATCTTCACCTTTACAAGGAGATTAAAGCCCTGTAGCTATTTTTTAACCTGTTAGTTTTATACTGTGCTCCTTTCCCCTGTAAACACTTGCTCAGGCACCTCAGTAATGGGCCGTACACAGCTGCCCATCTCTGGAGAGACAGCAGAAGGATTGCCCTGAGCTCCACGAGGCCTTGCAGGAGGAGATGGGATTTTAAGCCCCAGTGACTGCAGGCATTTTTATCCACATTCCAGAGGGAGAGATCCAGTGTTCTGCCACCACCACTGACATTCAGAGTGGCGCCGAGGACACAGAGCAGTTACACACCCAAGTGCACTTCATCAGCCAGTTCCACAGTCAAATATTCCATCAGCTCACCTAAACTTATTAAAAGCCTCTTCCCCATCAAAGCAAGAGGAGGAGGAGGAGGAGGAGGAGGAG